AGGGGAAAGGCAGCAGTTAATAGTCTACAGCTCCATTCTGAAACTCTCTGATGCGTTTCTAAGCCTAATCAAACAAAAAATACAATTTTTTCTCTATTTGTAGACTTGCCAACCATCTGGGCTAAATCATCAGCTTGGTAATTCCAGTCCACAGTCAGGAAAGGCAACAATATTTAGGGCTATGAACTAAAAAAAACAGGACAACGCACCAAGCAATTGTGAATGTTGATCTGGTCCATCATAAAAGCTCAGGGAGTCCCAAATGCAATCTTTAGCATCCTCAATAACAACATCTCGTATCACAGTTTTTAGTTTGCTTCCTGAAGCAGAATAGATTGTCCAAGTGCAGTTTAGCAAATTAGGATAGATGACTGGATAATTTGGAGAAACTATCTCTGCGACCCCGACTGGGATCAAATCCAAGACTGGACATCCTTAAAGAAAGGGGAAACAAGGCTTCTTATATTTCTGGAATTTTTATTTTGCCCATTATAAAATAGAAACAAACAAGCAAACCAGCCCCTGTTATCCAGACTAGCCCTCATTAACTTGACATCTGGCAGATGAGTTTATACTGCAATGCACAAAGTTTCCACCCAACAGTTCGAAGCTTCTAGAATGCTGGGAACTGTACTTTCAATAGATTGCAGAAAGAGTATTTAAAAGTGCATTCTTGAACTGGGCCTTTTTCAGTTGCAGCACGAGGCATCATGCTGTTTCTATTAGGCCACCTGCCCTAGAAAACAGTCTACTCCTGAAGAACAAACAGTCTTATTGATCTTTCATAAGGCTGTGCCCCTAATCAAGATGTTACAATAGATGCTCTGACATGGGGAGTCGAGCATGGGTAGGTGTGATTAGGGATTTTGTGATTTTACTGGGCTTTAGTACAATTTTATTTGGTTGGTTGGGTTAATGGAATTCTTTCTTTTTATTTTGTTCACTTCTAGACCTAGAGCCTCCTGGATAGATTGGCAGATGTAAAAAATGGATCGATCAATAAATAAGATATCAATAAATGTTTGTACACACAGGCACTGTCTTCCTCCAACACAGCACAAAACTGTGCTAGCATTAAATGTTGATATGTGACTATTTCTTTTGGCTCAGGCTACCTAGAAAATTATCTACATGTTGAGCGTTTGATTTCCTACCTACTCCTTCCTACTTCAGTACACTTTTTATACAGAAACACAGCTGTCATACCTTTTCGAATATCTCTATCTTGTACAGGACCTTATTGGAAAAAGAAAAAAAAAGGATATCATGATACATCTTTATTTTTCTGAGCTAACACAAAGGTAGTTGATGGTTCAGCAAGTAGAAATTTATGTATAAATAGTAAAATTTATAACTGTCTCATTCCTTTTTTATTATTTATTTATACTTATTAATAATTTCCATATAATAAAAGACAAATAAAAAAAATAAAAAAAAACAAGGTGTAAGAAGAGAGAAAAAATACTAAAGTTAAGATACATGATTTCTGACCTTCTTTTCAACAGATAATTACAATCTTATTGTCCCTTCTCCATCTTAAATATTTTGCAAATCTTTTCACTCCCTCATTTAACCTCAAGGCTCTCAATCTTCAATTCCTCATTTTTTTTCATCTTTCAGCAAAAAGTCCACAAAAGGTTTCCAGTCTTTCCACACAAAAAAATTATGTTTGTTCTCTGGTTAGAGAACTGTCTCATTCCTGTACTCTACTAACACACAACTCACACACACACACATATACAGGTAGTCCTCAAGTTACAACCGTAATTGATCCTGGCAGTTATGACCGTAAGTTGTGGTGGTTGTAAAGCAGATCCCCACATGACCAGACCCAGTTTTGTGACATTTTTCACAGCAGTCATTAAGTGAATGCCGTGATCATTAAACTAACCCATTGTTTACTACAGGCAAGTTTTTGCCACGAAGTAAACACTGGGTTCCAGCAAAACCATCATAAATTGCAGTCACCTGACCACAGGGTGCTGCAAAGGGCCATAAATGCAGGGTGGTTGTTGAATACCCAAAATATGGTCATGTGACTGCAAGGAGGAAACAGATGTCAAAACTTTGAAACTGGGCTGTAAGTAACTTTGAAGGGGTCCATCATTACTCTGAACTAAGGATTCTACATGTACACACATAATGCATATACAGCATCACATATTAAATAGACCTTTGAAAAAAAATCAGCTTAGGTGAAGAATATCTCCCACTGGCCTATAATAACACGAGAATAATCTTCTGGAATCAGAAAGTGTCCTGTTCCTACAGGAAGCAAACATCCTCTGAGAAGTTTATGGGGCATGAGTATTAAACTAACTAGTATTAAAAACATTTCATCTATGACACTGGAGGCAGTAGGAAAAAAAACCTTTATGAGTAGTGGTTTTTAACTGTTTTATCTTCCATGAATTGATCTAATTCTGCTTTAAAACCAACTAAGTAAATACTCATGCACCTAACAAAAACAAATTCTAAGTCTAATCATGCGGTAAGTGGATAAATGCTTCCTTTAATCTGTCCTACTTCATCATTCAGCTTCACTGGATGAGTCTATTCTTTAGGGCAAGAAGAGAGCTGTTCTGAATTAAAACTGAGAAATATTATCCCAGTTTTGGGGTGGAAAAGTTGACTATGTGATAAATGGAACTCACTTCTTTATTATTCATACATCACTAATCTAAGCATATTTTCTAGTTGGAAAGTAGCCAGAGTAGAACAGTTGTTCATGAAGAGATAGAAGAGATAAATGGACGCCCTTCTGTGAGATGGGTTATTCTGCTATGGTTTTGTAGCCTCTGTTGATATCACTTGGGGACACAATGGCTCAGCAGTTAAAGACGCTGAGCTTGTCAGCTGGAAAGCTGACAGCCAAGATTCAAGACCCAAGCACCATGCGATGGGGTGAGTTCCTGTTACTTGCTGCATAAATAGGTACCACTTTGGTGGGAAGGTAACAGCACTCTGTGCGCTTTCGGCATGTGGTCATGTGGCCAGCATCTTCGGACAACGCTGGCTCCCTCAGCTAAGAAATGGATATGAGCACCGCCCCCTACAATCATACATGACTGCACAGGGGGAAACCTTTATTTTTACCTTTAGATATCCCTCAAACTGGTTTTCTCCAGATGTTTTAGACATCTCCAGTTTTCCTTGATCATTGGAAGCCAGTAGAAACTACAATCGAAAACCTGTTCTCATCATACCCAGTGAAACACGCCCTCCAAGACCAGTGACCAGAGCAATAAGTCATGCAGAAATTTCTGGACAGCCTCCTCTTTGGTTCTGGGTGTATATTGTTGTTGTTGTTGTTGTTAATTGCGAAGTCGTGTCCGACCCATCACGACCCCATGGACAAGGTTCCTCCAGGTCTTCCTGTCCTCTATCATCTTCTGGAGTCCATTTAAGTTCACGCCTACTGCTTCAGTGACTCCATCCAGCTACCGGTACCTCATTCTCTGTCGTCCCGTTCTTCTGTTGCCCTCAATCTTTCCCAGCATTAGGCCCTTCTCCAGTGAGTCCTTCCTTCTCATTAGGTGGCCAAAATACTTGAGTTTCAACTTCAGGATCTGGCCTTCTAAAGAGCAGTCGGGGTTGATCTCCTCTAGGACTGACCGGTTTGAACGCCTTGCAGTCCAAGGGACTCGCAGGAGTCTTCTCCAGCACCATAGTTCAAAGGCCTCAATTCTTTGTCGCTCAGCCTTTCTTATGGTCCAACTTTCACATCCATAAATTGCAACTGGGAAAACCATGGCCTTGACTATACGCACTTTTGTTGGCAGGGTGATGTCTCTGCTTTTTAGTATGCTGTCTAGATTTGCCATAGCTTTCCTCCCCAGGAGCAAGCGTCTTTTAATTTCTTGGCTGCAGTCCCCATCTGAGGTGATCTAACTACAAATAGGTCACTAGATAAATACAGCAGGCCATTCAATTTGAATTCCATTTCCCATCAAGAAGAAAATATGCATCTTCAATTTTGGGCCAATTCTCTTTTATTTTATTTTAGTTTAGTTTGCACATGCTTTTTCTCCAAAGTCTGGCAAAGCCTTCTACTTACCCAACTCTATTTCTTGGATTTTGTAGGCCAGAGCGAAACCTTTCATATTTGTATCGGTGCCAGAAGTGAAGTTCAGCATCATCGTGGAGGTGCGTGACTTTATTGGATAATGTGGAGTTTCGCTACAGAAGTTACCTTTCAGACATACATAAAAAAAAAGAAATTTGATCATTCTGCCTCTTCAGTTTCATTAATTTCCACTTTTTATTTATTCCTTCTCAAAGACCTGCTTTTCATGATCTCTAGCAAGCCCTCTGAGAAAGCAAGGGAACTTTCAAAAGCCACAAGCAATATTTTTCATGTTTATACATCGTTACAACCAAAGATGATCTAACATTTGCAAGAACTACCACAATATAAGCATCCAATTCTCAATAAAAATTATAAAAATAGTAGAACAGTTGAACATATTCAAACATTGCATAAAAAAGAAGAAAGAAAATGTTTACCACAAAGAGCATCATTCATTAATCACCATTAAATTCGTCTGCAAATACCTTATGGAACAGGTCTGTATTTTCTGCCTTATGGAATGATTTAAAGCAGGGGTCTTCAAACTGGGCAACTTTAAGACTTGTGGACTTCAGCTCCCAGAATTCCTCAGCCAGCCCTGGCTGGCTGAGGAATTCTGGGAGTTGAAGTCCACAAGTCTTAAAGTTGCCCAGTTTGAAGACCCCTGATTTCAAGGACAATGCCCACTAGACATATCTACATAGTCCTTGACTTACAACTATTCATTTACTGACCTTTTGAAGTTACAACGGAACTGCAAAAAGTGACTTATGACCATTTTTCACACTTATGACCACTGCAGCATCCCCATGATCACATGATCAAAATTCAGACACTTGGCAACTGGTTCCTGTTTATGACCATTGCAGTGTCCCGGGGTCATGTATTGCCTTTTGTGACTGTTTGACAAGCAAAGTCAATGGGAAAGCCAGATTCACTTAACAACCGTGTTACTAACTTAATAACTGTGGCAAGAAAGGTCGTAAAATGGAGCAAAACTTACTTAACAAATGTCTCACTTAGCATTCCATTTTTGGGCTCAGTTGTGGTCGTAAGTCAAGGACTACTTGTAAAGGGAAGTCTCATGCAGAAATATTGCCTCTGGACTCCACTCTCCTCACTTCAATATATAGGAACAGAAGCACCCTGACTTAAAGGAAGACATTGGATAGGCCAGTTCCACATGAAATGGGCAGCCCCAAAGAGCCAGTCTAGGTAGAACTTTTAAAGTTAAAGCCAACTTCATAAAGTCTATCCTGAAACGTATTGGAAGCCAATGCAGCATCTACAGCAGGGGTCTTTAAACATGGCCCTTTTATGACTTGTGGACTTCAATTCCCAAAATTCCTCAGCCAGTGTGCCTGGCTGAGGAATTCTGGGAGTTGAAGTCCATGAGTCATAAAAGGGCCGAGTTTGAAGAACCCTGATCTACAGTATATATTTTACATGTGCAGTAGTTCTCACCTGCTAACATGTGGACTGCTGCATTTAGCACCAGTACTAGAACTGATCAGTCTTCAATGGCAATGCCATATGAAGCATATTGGAATAATTCAGAATAATAATGGTGAGAGGATGGCTCACTATTTCCAAGACATCTTTCACCTGTTCCCTGCAGGTCTGCAACTGGTGCATGAACCAAAGTTGTGTGAAGCCCAATAGGTCATGAAACAAATGGGACAAGACACTGGACACACAGATCATAGTTTACCTGAATGATGACCGGAACATCTGAACGCATGTTTCCTTTTTTTATGCAGACAGAAGGGTAAATGGGTCACTGAACAACAGAAGCCACAGTAGTTATGTAGCAAAGTATATGCTTTGTGCATAAAAAGGTGGATTCAGTCATCAAAGATTCTTGAATATGGCTAAGAGGGAAGGAAGCCAGCTGCCACTCATGATACACAGGCTATGTGAACTTTTTTTTTTTTGGGTGGTTCCAGATTCCCACTTGTCTTCACTACCAAGAATTAGTGATAAATTTAGCACTAATTAGAATGGGCACAATAAACACAATAAACTACTTCCCCCCCCCCAAGAAAACCTTCCTACTTTTTTAAAAAAGTAGTCTTCACCCATTGTAGCGATAGAAAACGATAGGTACAACTGTAAGCCACTGGAAATCCTTTGCCTCTGGTGCAGACAATACTTAGATGAGTACACATATGCTCTAAGTATAAAGCACAAAGTAGAGTATAAAGTATACAGTACAGGTAGTCCTCGACTTACAACCACAAATGAGCCCAAAATTTCTGTTGCTACGTGAGACAGTTAAGTGAATTTTACCCCATTTTACAATCTTTCTCTCCACAGTTGTTAAGTGAATCACTGCAGTTGTTAAGTTAGTGATACAGCTGTTACGTGAACCTAGCTTCCCCATTGACTTTGATTGTCAGAAGGTTGCAAAAGCTGATCACATGACCTCAGGATACTGCAACCGTCATAAATGTGAGTCAGTGGCCAAGCATCTGAATTTTGACCCTGTGACTGTTGGGATGCTGCAACAGTCGTAAGTGTGAAAAAGTTTCCTCAGTCACTTTTTTCAGTGCTGTTGTAACTTCGAACAGTCACTAAATGAACTGTTGTAAGTCGAGGATTACCTGTGTAAAAGTAGTTTCCCTAAGAGTGGCAACAATCCAAACTTCATCTTCATTTTAGATCCTTAGGATATTGTCATCTCAGATGTATCAACCTTGAATAGTTTTTGCATGAAAAGCAACAGGAGTGGTCAGGAAGGATATCACACATCCTTATAACAATCCACTGTAATGTTACATCTCTCACCAAGCATCTCTCTTGTAGGTCCAAATCCTTCATAAAGTATAAGTCCACCATGACAGCTGGGGAGGGAATTCTCAAGCACAAAGTCCATGAAATCCAATCGAATGATGGCATTTAATGGGGCAACAATCCTCCAATAGCAACTAGATCAATAAATCAATAATAGGAAAGTTTCAGACTTAAATACTGGACCATTTTCCTGTCTTTTCTTTCTCTTCTATGTAATAAAGCTGCCAATTCAACATTGCATTGCATCGAGAGTTGCTTGAAGGGAGTGCTGCAAAGTGGCATCCCTTTGCATCATCCTAATAAACCAACCTCCCACTCAAATTCCTAAAAATTGGGTGGTTTCCACACCCAGAACTTCTAGCATTTGCTTTCTTTTTTAAAAAATATATTTTATTGATTTTTTAAAATAACAATCTTTAGTGCTTAGTAAACAGCGTGTTGTCTGGGTTCATGTATTTGAAAAACAATCAATAATAATTAATGTCTATAGTTTCATAGTCAATATATTAATTAATGATATATTTCTTTGATCTTCTCTTCTTCCAGTAGTATTCTCCTTTCGTCAACATTAAACAAATATAGTTCTTAATATTTTCGATTCATACAAAGTTGGATATAAACATTTTTCTTGTGTTTGTACAAATAACAGTAACATCAGCATATAACATCTTTTCTGATCAGCTTATGTTTCAACTGTATTTATAAAAGTCATCTTATTAAATCACTATATGTCCTGTTTAAGCTTAATTTCCCCTCTGTATTCAAACCATTCTTATCAGTCATAATTTTCTCAAAGTTAATTACCTTTAAATATCCAAACTTCATTCATGTACACCATCCTAATATTTTTACATTTCATATATTATAAAAAGTACGATACTATTTGTATATCTTATCCCTCTTACTGTAGGACCCCTTTATATCCATAATTTATCTATTCTTTTAACCATATTCAAACAAGTGTTTGATCATATAGTACTCCATCTGGTAAGTCGAATCAAATCTCTTGGGTCTAACTCTAGCCTTCTTCTTTTGCCAAGTAGCTTTCCAAGTCAGTGTGTTCAACTTGCCAGGGGATTCTTCCTGTATTTTTGTAAATATTGTTGGGAATAGGAAAGACAAGTTAAGTAGAGTGTGCATTTTTTGTCTCCCAAACTCTAATGATTCTCCTGGCTGCTCTATAATCCATTTTGTTAGATCTTCTTTCCTATCTTCAAGTTTGTTTTGAAGTCCTGAAAAATAAGGTATCTTTTCCATTTCCATTGTTGTGGCAAAATCTTGCAAGTTTTCTTTTGTTTGTATTAAGCTGAGTTCTCTTCATCTGTAGCTTCCCTCTTTGGGTCACTATCCTCTGGTTTGTGTTCTGTTTTCTGATTTGTTTGTTCATTTTTTGTTGTCATTTTCTGAAAGGTTTTTAATTGTAAGTTTAGTTTAAAGATATGCTCATTTATGTCATCAAAGTTGTTTTTAATTTCATTATGATTTGAAACCATTGTCATTTGAATCTGTCACAGAATTGCATACATTTCCTCCTGGAAAATATTTGCCTTGTCTTGGAGTATTGATCTATGGGGGAGGGCTCCTTCTTTGTCACCTCTCCGAGGCAACTTTAGATCAATTTAGGGTCCCCTGGCAAGGTGAAACCAGCTGTGAGATGCGGAGCTCCACAATCCCTCGCTCTCCCACTGTGGTGCAAAACCAGAAGTCAAGCATTTGCTTTCTTACTGGGTGATTCTGGCATTGAAGTACAATATCTGGAAGTCCCATATTGAAGAAGGTAGATATTTATCTATCTTCTCCAATATGGGACTTCCAGATGTTGTACTTCAATGCCAGAATCACTCAGTTAGAAAACAAGCTTTTCATTATTATCTGAACAAGGAACTGCTGTTTAACCTTGACACGTGAATTAACCATCAAACCATGAAGAGGGATAAATCATTCCAAGTTGCTTTATTAAGCCAAGTCTGGCAAGATCTAGGTAGTATAAATGATTCAGAGACACCTCCAGACATTTTGGGTGCTCCATCACTGGAGGTTTTTAAGAAGAGATTGGACAGCCATTTGTCTGGAATGGTATAGGGTCCCCTGCTTCAGCAGAAGATTGGACTAGAAGACCTACAAGCTCCCATCCAACTCAGATATTCTGTTGCAACAAAAAAAAATTACATTATATAGTCATGAAATATAAAGCAAAGAGAAAAAACAAAGTATTTCTTAACCCGTTAAAGAGCTGGACAAGGCTAAGCCTAATTAATAATAATGTGATTATCACGAGTCATTTATTTGTGTGGAAAAGAGATTGTGAAGATGAACACAAAACAGCCCAGTTGGGGAATATCCACTTGGAAAAGCATGCCATATTCAAAATGGACCCCCAACAGAATCTTATTTCAACCTTACCTGGTGGCATTGGAACAGCCATTAGGAAAACACGGAGTCTGGATTATTCCTTCCTGGGCTATAAGGATCACATCTCTACAAGAGGACAATTGCTGGCTCAAGTCACTGGATTCTTTAATGATACTTCCTATCTTAGATTCTATAATGGGAAGAAAGGAAGCAGCAAATGCTATAGGTGGCTCTTTTGTCAAGGGCCCTGCAGCACCTACCATATTTTTTCCCTCCAATTTGTAAATGACTCCAAGAGAACTGTTAAAATAAAATCATTTCATAATTTAAATGGTACTAAAAGCATATTTATAGGGTAATTATTTTAAACACATATACAAAAAATATACCTAGGCAAAGATAATAGTTTTTTCAGGTCATTTACATACTGCATATAAATGACCTGTCATATTGAACATGTAAAGTGTACCAGCCTAGATGTCAATGGCAGGCAGCCTTTTCACAGCCTATAATTGCATTTAAAAGAAAAGTTTTCAAATGAAACTTTGAAATGCTTTAGGAATGAGGCAATGATGAAGCAACTTGATCAGTGGGAGATCATTGGGGTAGATATTCTATTTAAACAGAAAAACAGCACCACTGAAAAATGTAATTTTGCCACTGAATTTTCAAAGGCTGATAGAACAAGGCAGTGGTGGGATCCAGCCAGTTCGCACCAGTTCGGCAGAACCGGTAGTTAATTTTTTGTTGCCCAGGCCCAGAATGGACTTCCAGAAGCGGCATCCACACAGAAAACTGGTTGCTCACATATTTGAATCCCACCACTGGAACAAGGACTGTGCAGCATATGGAGCCTATAAGTTATCCACCTTTGCCAAAGGCAAACCCAAATATGGCTTTACAAATTTCAGAAGGTGATAGTGGCTAAATTCTATCATGATTCGTCACATAACCTTAAAAAATTCTCCACCAGTTGATGAATTTTAAAATAATGCAAATAGCCAGCTTTCTGCAAGGAGTATAAATCCTTCCATTCCCCACCATCCAGTCAGAGCTGAAGAAACTTCTTGGATGAGAAGCGAAACATCTTCAAAGAAAAACAAGAAAGTCCAGTTGCCTCGTGAAAAAGCACCTTTGGGAGAAGGTTATCTGCAGATACCAAGTCCTGAGCCAGGAAGGGATTTAAAGGTGACAAACATCATTCTGAATTTCACCCAGAAAACAATTGGCCATCAAAGCAGCTCTTTGAGTAGTGAGCTCTTCAAGTGTTATATGTGGCGATCAGAAAATGTCCATAACCACTTGACAACCTTTGCCTGTGTGACACCTTCCAAATATATTAGTATGGTAATTAACAGAATAGTTAGCACAGCTTTCTAGGAATTGGAATAGCAACCTTTTTAGGATATTAGGCTTGTTGACGCTATGTACCTTGTCCATCAACAGCTTGCAGAAGGTTCATGGGTGACTCCAATGACCGTACTGACGTTTCAAGACCAGAGTTACTGAATGGCATCTCCGCTGGTCCCTTCTCTATTGTGAGGAAGGAGGGAGGGAAGGAGAGAGAGAGAGAGAAAGAGCAATAAGAGGTACTGAAAAAAATGTAATCATAGAACCATAGGGCAGGAATGGACCTTGGAGGTCTTCTAGTCCAACCCCCCTGCTCAAGGAGGAATATTTTATTGTATCCCATACAAATGGCTGTCCGATCTTTTCTTGAAAACCTACAGCGATGGAGCACCCACAACTTCTATGAAATAAAATTAGCTGCGCTAACCCCAATGAGGTGCAAACATACTATACAAAGTTAAATAATTTTTAAAAAGCAGGGTCTGACTTGGCTTGTTTCCCTGTTTATCTCATCCTTTCTTTTGATTTCATGTTTTTTATATTACGAGCCTCTTAGGAATGCCTGTATTGATTATGATTTACACCAATTGTTCTGCTAGCCCTTTTAGCTGAAAGGGGTAAGAATATGCTAAAATACTGAAATGCAAACGATCAAAGCTACTTTCCCCAAATTATATTTTTCACACATTTGTGCTAATTACTGTGCCAATTTTACAGCAAACTTGTAGTAACTTGAGCACTGACAAAAAAATTCTGACATTCCAAGGAATTGGAAAATGCATTCACATGCTGCTTGCTTTGCTCAAATCCAGAAGTTCCTAAACTTTTTGTATCCACCTCCCCTAACAATCCAAAGATCAAAATGAAAATAAATGAACAATGAAAACAACACAATGAAACTCTATTTTTAATAAGGGCATAAAAATCTTCAAACCACCTCATAGTTTGGGAACTCCAAGCAGACGATGCCACTCAAATATCAGAAGGCAGTATTGCTTAGCATTTAGAACCAAAGAGAGACCACGGGCAAGAGATAGGACTATGCTTACCTTTCATGACAGATACAATCCAGTCAAAAAAGGTGCTCACTCTTGCATAAACACCTGGTCTCTTGGGCTGGGCACAACCCACGCCCCAGCTAGCAATTCCATGGAGTATAAATGGCTTGTTTTCATTTTGGCAAACCAGCAGACCTGAATCCCCCTGAAAAAACATGCACACAATGTCACACCGTTTGCAAAATGTAAACAAAGAACACATAGCTTTGTATTTACAGTAATATTTCTAATGTACATGTCTAAATCCATAACTTTTCCATGCAGGCATGGAATTTCATAAGCTGAGTTGCAGCAAGGGCAGTAAACAGAATGGCTGTGTGATCTGTGTAATAAGAGTTATGGTTTTCAGCAGCTGTAGAGTCCTTGATGCTCTCTGAGCTTGATGGTTTTCTTGCAGATGTTTCATTACCAAAGTAGGTAACATCATCATTGCTAGAATGGAGTGGGATTTGCTCTTATTTTTATATACTAGTGGCTTGACCTGTCAGTGTTGTTCTTGGTGGTTCCGTGATCTACATGCCACTCAAAAGAGACAATCAAAAAGTCCAAAAGGAAACAAAAAACCCAAGGCACCTCCTCATGAATAATCAACATCCATATGCACAAAGATTAACAAAAGGTTAACAATAGAACAAGTAAACAATACCCCAGTCAAGGAGCTACCAACACAAATAAACAAGCTGATAGTAAACAACAGCTTAATCAAGGGACCACCAAGAACAATCCCATCAACACTGATAGGATAAGCCACTAGTATATAAAAACAAGAGCAAACCCCAGTCTCTTCTAGCACTGATGATGTTACCTAGTTTGGTAATGAAACATCTGGGGAAAAAAAACCACCAAGCTCAGAGACACCACAGTCGAACCCTGAGCTAGAAGAGTATTCTTTTCTGTTGGTACCACTAAAGTACCTGCCCAAAAGGAATCATGTTATACCCCACAAAGAATACAGATGACCCAACCCCCAATCTATTATTCTTCCCTTCCTGAAAAAGTGTGAAGGAGTTCCAAATTCAGCCTATAAGCTACAGATCCTCTTTGGTCTATAACTGTAAAATATTTAATAAAATATGGTGCAGATGATCCATTTTTGATAGCTTGAGCATACTTTCCTTGTCCTAGTTTACCCGTCTATGCTGCAGTTTTTTCTTGTCTGCTCTCTTGATACCTGGCAGGAATCGTGGCCTTCCAAAGATGCAAACCCAGCACAGAGCATCCGAGGTGTAATCCCTCCAGGGTGATTAAAGTAGTAGTTTTGCTCACAGAGGTCATTGGCCACCAGTGGGACATGCATTTGCTGTAGACGAGTAGCAAGGCCTCCAGCTATAAAACAGTAGAAGAACAACATTTCAGAGTAATGGATGTTTTTTTTTTCTTTGATGGACTAGGGGGAAAATCTTGCTCAAAACATATTACTAAGGTTTGGAGTACATCTGAGTTAGGCCTAAAAACATATAAATAGGTCAGAAAAAGAGGCTGCAGTAGAAGAGATAGGCTCTATTGATGCTGTTTGATCCAAATAAAGAATATGCAACCTGATGGCATCCAGATGTTTTGAACAAAATGGCCCACAATCCCTTCTCACTAGTTATACTAGCTGGAGCTGAAAGAATTTGAATTCCAAAAACATTGCCTACCCAAATTTAGATAGGCCCTATTACCTCCTTAGGTATGCAATCCTTCTTGCATTAGAACAGTTTTTTCTCAACACTGGCAGTTTAAGATGAGTGGCAGTTTGAGATGGGTGGACTTCAACTCCCAGAATTCCCCAAACAGCAAAACTATCTGGGGAATTCTGGAGGTTAAAGTCCCCCATCTTAAACTGTTGAGAAATACTGCATTAGAAACTGAAAATCGAAACCTGAACTTTTTTTATTATGTATAATTCCAGAAAAAATTAATAAACAAAGTGTATAGTTAACATTACACGTATTAACAGCAGGGAGGATTGTATTTGCTCAGCACTGGAAAAATGAAGAAACACCATTAGACGAAGAGATAATTAAGAAAATACTGGACTGTGCTGAAATGGACAGACTTACTAAGAGGATCAAAGAAAAAGAAGATACAAAATATTTTCAAACATGGAACTTATTTTATCAATGGCTGGAAAAATAGGATAGAGAGTAAGAACTTAACTTGTATTATTAAGCAAAACAAATCAATCCAGACAACACACTGTTCATTAAGCACTAATGAAATGTAATAACAGAAAATCGGTAAAATATTATTAAAAAAAAGAAGAAACTGAAAACCGGATATATCATTGATGCTAAAGCATAGAACAAGTATGGTCAGAGAACCCAAGCGTTCCCCCAATACCCCGTTAGGGGTCTGTGAAATCCAATTTTTGGCCAGATATTGAAAATATTTGCAAACATTTAAAAATGTCACCCTTCTCATTATTAGTTTTTAATCTCTTAAAATACAGTTCTTCATGAAAAATATTTTATCTAATAGGTTTAATATTGCTATTATGAGTCAATAAATATTCTACAAATGTATCAATTTTAATTTTTAATGTGGTAAATATTGATAAGTATAACCCACATAAACAAATCAAAGCTCTTTTGAAGTCTTCTATAATTTTTAAAAGTGGGAATGGATTCTGAGAGACCTAAAAGTTTAAGAAACATTGGCATAAAACTTTAAGACTTGTAGACTTCAACTTCCAGAATCCCCCAGCTAGCATGGCTGGCTGAGGAATTCTGGAAACTTAATTCCAGAAGTCTTAAAATTGCTAAGTTTGGAGACCCCTGGCATAGAACAAGCTGGCTCCCAGTTCCTTCTAGCTTCATATTGCTAATATAATATAGGATCAAGATATGTTGGTGTGCAGAGACTCCTATGCTCACCTTTGGCCTCTGATGCTTAACATCTTTACATTTAAGCATTCTTTTTTCTCATCTACCTGACCATTCACAATACTCCCAAGGACAATTTCCTGGCTACCACAAAGCAGTTTGCTCAGTGTTTAAAACTTATTCATACTATATAGCAGGGGTCCCCAAACTGTGGGCCGCGGCCATGGCCTATTGGCCATCGGGCTGCGTGAATAGTTGGGCAGTGTGCACGTGCGAGCATTGCGGGCATTGTGGCCCAATTCGTGTGGGCATCGCCATGAGTGTCACAGATGTTTGTGGCCCCACTCACATGAGCTTCACCACAGGGGTTGTGGGTGTTCGCGGCCCCACTTGCATGAGCATTGTCACTGGTGTTCGTGGCGCCACTCACGTGAGCATTGCCGCAAGCATCCTGGGCATTCGCAGCCCCACTCGCATGAGTGTTCATGGGCCCACTCGCATGAGCAACGGGTATTCGTGCGCGTGCATGTACGTACATATGCGTTCACCCACCCACAGCTATATAGGAAGATGTTCTGTTTCTAGTGAGGAACATCAAGAGCACCTACCTCAAACCAGCTAGAAAATATTACTAGCAATGAAAAATCCAATCCCATTCATATACTATATTTCAAGTCATAAGAATTCCCAGAATTAACTGTGACTTTTGCAAAATTTATATTCTCTATTTCTATCTCAACATACATTTATTATTTCAGTTTCAGGGCCATCCGATTCCACAGTGACTCTGAGCAACTTACAATTTTAAAAAAATCAAAAGAAAACAACATATATCAAAGAAAATGTTTTCTAGGGAACTGGGACTAGAGCAAAAACTAGATCTAAGAATAGGTTCATTTGATTCTGAATTCCGAAGTGCTACAGAATAAACATTTCTGCATGGGTATAAAAGCCATGTAAATTGATTTGGATGCATTCAAGTTGATATAAATAAACTTTGCTGATTTGATTAAAAGATCTAATTTGGTTCAAAGACTCAACTGATGCATTTTCAAATTGAATTCCCAAATCAAATATTCATACCCTTAATATATATTTACCTAGGATGTGTGCAGTGTGTTCAGTTTGTACATTGATTTCAAAGCGCAGAAACTCTCTTTTTATTAAATGTCACAGTGTGTCCCTCTAAATTAATGGTTCTTAAAACCGACCTTATTATTCCTTTTCCTGCTCCTGAATTATGTCATTACTCCCATTAAAAAAAAACCCTCTTGTTTTACATAAGTATCTTGGTGGCAGCAGCCCTAAACTCACAAACAAGCAATTACAAATTGCTCCATCACCCCCCAGGATATTTCCAAATTACTCCCTTGGATAATTATCCCCAGTTTAAGAATCACTGCTCTAAATGGAGGAGAACAATAAAAGGAGATTGCCACATTTCATATCAGGGTTTGGTGGTAAATCGTAGGTCTCTAAATGCTTTAGTCTGAATTGCTTTAGTTAGATTTTGCAGCAAACTCCCAGACAGAACGTGACTAGATTACTTTAAAAACTAGCTTTTGGGTATTATGGATAATTTGGATCAAAAAGAAATAACACTGATGTTGTATTGTATAACAGCAGCAAGGACATTAGTTGCTCAAAATTGGAAAAAAAAGATATTACCAACTATGGATGATTGGAGACAGAAAGTATCATATTTTGCAGAGATGGCAAAAATATCCGCGTACCTGAAGGATCATTCTCAGGAAAAATTTATCTCAATATGGAGAAGATGGATAGATTATATTCAGAGAAAGTATGAACTGAAAAATTACTATGTAGCTTTTGATTAAAAACTTAGAACAAAATTAGGTATATTATATATTGATATAACTTAAAAAACTTTTTTTCTCTTGTTGTAATTTAATGTTATTTTAGATTCACAGTAATTTTGTACTAGTGTGTAGTAATAATGAGTAGTTTTGATTAATATTGGATGATTGTGCATTTATTTCCTAGATTAGCTTTGGGAAGTCCTGGGGGGGAGGGGGGAAAGGGGTAGGTTGGTATTATAGATTTATATGTATATATATGTATGATTTTCTAAGGAGGTGCCCGGTGATACCCCAACTGCACTGATGGGATGGTTGAGGGAGAAAGGGAGGTAGGAAAGAGTGAGGAAGGAGGAGTGGTGGTAGGATAGGGAGGAGGAAGGTGTAGGCAAGTGAGAGGGTGGTGCAGAAGGGGGACACCGGACACATCCGTGAATGTATTGATTGGTGTTGATTTTTTTTTGGTTGATATTGTGATAAAAGATTTATGTTTTTGTTTTTCAATGAAAAATCAATAAAAATTTATTTAAAAAAACTAAAAAAAAACTAGCCATGAACAAAGCCTGAAATATAAGAATACAGAACAACAGAATTGGAACATACTTTGGATGTCTTCTACTCTAATGCCCTGCTCAAGCAGAAGACCCTGCCTACTACATCATTCCGGACAAACGGCTGTCCAATCTCTTTTTAAAAATCTCCAGTGATGGAGCATCCACAACTTCTGGAGGCAAGCAAATCCATTGATTAATTGTTCTCACTGTCGGGAAAGTTGTTCTTTAGTTCTAGATTGGTTCTATCCTATTTTTGCTAAGATTTAACTAAGGTGGAGAAAGACCCTTAAAAAAGGGTCAGTGGTGTTCGAGGATCAAAATGAACTTAACCTTCTTGGAAACTTGCCCAGCCAGTCACAGTACAAAGCACAAAGGACGGCAACAGCTCCTTGGAACTTGGCAAACATACTGGCCTCACCGCTGCGCTATAGATCAGAGGTGTTTGCAGCTGGACAAGGGCAATATCAGAATCATAACTTGCAACATCAAAGGCTGGTTGCACTGTAATGCTCTTGACTCTTCTCGCCTGCATCAAGAGAAAGCAAGAGAATCAGTAATCAGCCTTTTTCCACTCAGTAGTAGCCATTTAGGAGGAAAAAAGGAGGAGGGGAAATACCAGTTTAGCTACAAATTACATTCTTAGTCAGCATCTCTTTGCAAAATAATCAGCAACTTCCTCTACAGGGCTGTCCCTAATCAATAGATGCTCCTGCAGCAAGAATTGTTTCTATTCTTTTTTTAGGCTGTAGCAAACACTGAATTGAGATAAGAATTGCTGCCAGCACCACTACTATAGTGCTGCCTTTGTCTGATAAGCTATGAACCTCCTTATTTTAGCCCACACTTGATATAAATTAGCCCCCTTTCATCCTTGCTGCAATGTGATTCCTTCTTCCTGCTAGCATCTCCATCTGAGCAAATATACCACACAATTTGCCCATTACTTTCATTAACATTTCCATTCTGCCTTTTTGGAGAGAACTCTTAGAAGTATGTTTTTTATTTACTGCTAGGGTTGTGGACACAAAACCCTTAGCCAGAAAGCTTTTAAACCCAGATTTGTTGCCCAAGCTAGAATTAGTTTCAACCTGGCTTATTTTTCTTCCCCAAAATGGTAAAAATCATGGTTTCTTTATCCAGGACAAACCAAAAAAAAGAAAGTTGATTGCATCAAGGCAGCATTTTTTAAACAAAGCATTGTTTCAAATTGTGCTTTGCTTGTAATCCTTCTTCGATCTCTTCACTCTGCAAGTGGGTATGTTAGATAGAAATGGATCAGACACAGCAGAGATTGCTTAAGGTTTTTTTCAGTTTTCTTTTTTCCTCCCCTCACTAGTTTAAGTAATCTCTCCGTTCTGCAAGAATTTTCTCAGCCATACCTGAAGATGCTGAAGAGGGACTGAACCAAGGACCATGTGGGGATAAAAACAGGTGCTCCACCAGTGAGGAAAAAGAAACATAAAGCTACGTTTGTCTCTACCTGCTCAGCAGCTTCTTTCAGCATTCTGTCATGGTTTCCAGCAACAACAGTCCAATATGATGGATTATTTGTTCTAAAAAAAAAAAGGTGTTCCTTTGCTGTTAAATCATGTTTTTTACATAAATGAAAAATGTTAACAAAATATACTTTAATTTTCAGTTTAACTTATTCGACTTTTTATTTAACATTCCTGCAAAAAAATCATAGGAATGTTTGGGTGAAAGCTGAGATGTCTTCATTATATTCATATCCACTTTGCAGAATAAATTAAATTGCAGAGATGATTCAAAATGTTTCAGGACCCTGCAGGAACTGAAGCATGATAGCAGGGCTATTTTTTTCTCATAGAACACCCAGAACGGAGTTCCGGCACCTTTTTTGGATGGAACCTTGTAGAGTAGGCAAGGCGGGTTGTATAGTGTGTGTGAGTTCTGGCACCTTTTTTTTTTTAGAAAAAAAAGCACTGCATGATAGTATTTTTCCCAGGTCTAAATTCACTCTTACCCAGGGCTTTTTTTTGTCATAGAACACCCAGAACGGAGTTCTTTGGATGGAACCTTGTAGGGTAAGCAAGACGGGTTGTATGACGTGTGTGAGTTCCGGTATCTTTTTTTTTTTTTTTTTACAAAAAAGCACTGCTCTTACCTACTTTATTCCAAATAACCAGCATCTACAAAAGGCTACTTTGCCCAGCTTAACATCTTACATATGTACTTACATCTTTACACAGTGAGCAGCTGTGAGCACCCAAGTCAAGTTGATGATGGCACCTCCACACCTGTAATCACCTAGAAAGTGCAAACTCACATGCCAGGGCCAGCAGTGAGGACAAGCTTCTTCTCCTCCAACGATAAGTGTTGACAGCCTCTGGGGACCAAAGGGGGGAAAACCACACATATCTGCAGCAAGAGGAGGAGGAGAAGAACCAAATGCTAGAAGACATCCAGGAGAGTTCAATAATTCATTGCTTGGCAAGTGAAGTTTCAAGATTTTATAATCATCATTTGTCCTCTCATAGCTCTAGAACATATGTGTATGTTCACATGATAATGTGAACATGCACGCATACGTACATACGCCTCTCTGGTATATATCTTCCTAAAACTATTATTTCTTCTAAAATCCAAAACACATTTTGCATTTAACAACACACATCAGACTTGAAGAATCCATGGTTAGCTACTTTTGTCCATACAAAACTTGGAGCACCTTAGAATTTCTCTAGCAGTGTTTGCCAAATGCAAAAATGAAGCATTTCAAATGTAACCATTACAGCCACTGTACGTTTTATGTTCATAATGGGCAACAATAGAATCCATAAACCTTCAGGCATGAGAGAACAGACAGCTCAAACGGGAATATTTCCAGACAGACCAGTTTTGGTGTTATCTGTCAAAAGATACCGTAAAGTTATTATTTTTCTTAATAGATTCTTTATATGCAAAGAAGACAGCAATAATGATAGGAAGATTCAGCACAGTTAGAAGAGGAAGTGTTACAACCTGGAGTTTTCCCAATCCCCATATCATTTTATGAATGGATTTAGGCAGACTGATGTTACAATAACAGCACTGTCTGGAAGTGCCTAAGTCAAATAAAAGGTAAGACTGCTGGGTTTTAGTAATCCTTCCTTTTTCATATTCAGGTTGTTTTCTAGGAAATCCGAAAGTGGAGCTATTATTAATCCTTGAGGAACTTGCTTACCCAGTGGGATATCTTTGGGCTCAAATGCAGATACAGAAAACAGCCCTGCATATTCCGTTTTAGTTGTTGCTGTAAGAAAGAAAGCTTCAGTTCAGCAAAAAATTATTTCTCAACCATGTGACACAAAAGGGTCAAATCTACACAGTTCAGTATTCATTGCTCCACTCCTAGAACTTATTCCTATTTTTCTGATGCTCTCTTGATTGGAGCACCTGAACACATTTTGTCATCTGAAACAGTTAACCTCTATATCTCATGAGATATATGCATTAATCTTTTACAGGAATGTGGAAATCTAGGTCATCACATGACCTAGAAGTAGGAAGATCCCAAAGTCAACACAGCGGCACAACTCAGAAGAGCCATGGTGGCGCAGTGGTTACAATGCAGTATTGCAGGCTAATTCTGCATTCCACTGCCAGGAGTTCGATCTTGACCCGCTCAAAGTTGACTCAGCCTTCCACTCTTCCGAGGTTGGTAAAATGAGGACCCAGATTGTTGGGGGCAATATGCTGACTCTGTAAACTGCTTAGAGAGGGTGGTAAAGCAATAATAATAATAATAATAATAATAATAATAATAATAATAATAATAATAATAATAATAATAATAATAATAATAGTAAAGTTGGAAGGGACCTTGAAGGTCATCTAGTCCAACCCCCTGCTCAGGCAGGAAACTAAATCGGTATATAAGTCTAAGTACTAATGCTATACACATATATGCCCTTGATCAGACAATGCTCAAGGCCTGCATGTTCCACTCAAAACAAAATTCACTATGTCTTCAGAGAATAGCTTATATTTTCTTGCATCCTAAAAATTTGTCTTTGTCTTTGTACATAGTTTGACCTAAGAGGCTTTTTTTTAAAAAAGGATCATGCTGGATGAAAAAGATAAAAGGTTGAAAATTGACCTATTAAATGCTTATTGCACTCCATAGGACAAGTCAATTTAGAACCTCAGAAACACTTGATAATCCCAAAGCATTCTCTGTTAAGGATCAGAATGGTCCAATTGCAGATGACTCTGAAAGATAATGAGTATTTGACCACAAAAACACTCCTGCCCCAATAGATTACTTCAATTATTTATGTCAATGGTATAAAATTTATAGCCATACTTTTTACCTTTGCCTGGAATTGATACTAAATAGAACCCAATGCCATGAAGAAATTCCACAGCCTGATTTGTACGTTTAGGTGAGGCCCTAAAGTTAGGTGAGCCTCTCTAATTTTTCTTCACTCCCATTGACTCTGGATCAAAAGACATGCGAATCTTTTATTTTAGTGGAAGCAGATGTTGAAGAGAACATTCCCAACTAACCTGAGGAGAAAAAAACAAACTTGGCCTTGAATCCTCTGAAGTTATTTTCTTCATCACTCTCAAAGTGGATCAGCATGATGTTCCCTGGGCTCCACACAGGTGAAGGAATTGAGAAACCACACAGGAGAGCTATAAGGGGAAAATTAGAACACAACTCCTGCCATCAGCAGTGAAGTACTTTTCTACAGGGGCCATATCCCAAATAAGGGAAAAGAGCTCCCTCAGTCTAAATCACCTCAGGAAAGTTGATTCAAGATTTTGGGACAAATGTTTTAAACCAGAGACATTTTGGTTTGGTCTACTATCTCTTGTCCACCACCACTGCCCATTTGCTTGACTTTCTTTCAGAATATAATCCACACCATCTTCAAGAGTAAGTGGACAAGGTCAACGCCACATTGCCTAGGAATTTTGAGAGCTGTAGACCATTGCTGAGACACTAAGTGCACTCTTTCAATTTTTTGTTTCAGACAGCCATTACAATCTACCAAGTCAAACCAGTTATTACCTAGCTGGTGCTCTTCTTCAGTGTCGCCATAAACAACAACAGCATCATAAATGCAATCCTGGCTGTTTTCAACTGCAAAGTCTTCAAACTCCAACTGAAAGGGAAAACATCAGCATTCACTCCCATAGAACATACATAATAGCATTCCCATTCTTATGTCCTCCAGGACTTCCGATGGTATGTTCTAGAAATTGTGGCCCTAGCTCAGACATGTCAAACACAAGGCCCGGGGGCCAGATGCGGCCTGTGAAGTGGTTTCATGTGGCCCGTGAAGCCATTCTGGAAACAGTGAGGGAACGGCCCCCACTGCCTTGGCCCTGGCCCAGGCCAGCCAGGGGCCAATGTACAATTTTGTGGTGGCCATCTATGCTGAAACGCATTCAGTCTTAGCTCCACAAGGTCGTCTAGAAACAGCGAGGAACCAGCCCCTGCCTTGTTGGCCCTGCCCCCTGGGTGCATGCTGGGGAGGTGTCACCCTTTGTGAGGAATGAAGAAATGGACCATGCCTTGGCGCTTGCCCCAGTCCCACCCCCTTCTTCCAGAGACCCTCAGATCTGTCCCACTCCTGCCCAGGCCCCCACAGGCACCCTTGACGTGAACGATGTAGAGCTGGCCATGCCCACCCAGTAGGCCACACCCACTCCATCCATGCCCACCCAGTAGGCTGCACCCACCCTAGCCACACCCATCCGCCCCCCCGAGGGCAACCGCAATGCTGATGCGGCCCTCAATGAAATTGAGTTTGACACCCCTGCCCTAGCTTATCTGAAGGGCATCTAATGAAACAACATGTCTGAAACCATAGCAAAAAAACTCTATCCCAACTGAATCAAGGAGCACAGTAAAGCAAATCAAGACATGATTTTGATTCATGAGACAGGAAATCTTTTCAACTTCTCTTTCTATGTCTGGCAGAAAAAGAATTCAGTAACATCGAATTAAATAATAATCTATTTCCCTTTCTTGACCTCCAAAATCATCAGCTGCCTTACTCTGCCAATGAAGAAGCAATTTTAAGTTCTTTGAGAACACAGATAAGCAAGAGAGTTGCCTCAAGAATGATTTGTGACTGCCTGACATAGGCATTACAAAAAAGTTGGTTGGATTCCAACCTAGGTCATTGCTCCTTATTACCTTGATGACACAGTCCACTGGGGCTTCAATGAGCCAGTGGCATTTTGTGCTGCTGGGATATAAACCAGGGTAATTAGCCGTGTCAATCTTTCCTTCTTCCACCAGCATTGCAACACTGCCACAGCCAGAGCCTACAACATTGGAGCAAGAGAGGCAGCAGCAAATAAGCAAAGATGTTATATGCATCATCTGCACCTTATTAACTGGCAAATCAACATTAAGTTCTTTTTCCACCTCAATACACTTACAATATGCAAATGGAGGCAGAATGTCTACCTGCTTTTTGGAAAATAAGTAGAGAGCAAGAAGCTGCCTGTTCCCCAACTGTCCTCCACAGAGAGGTCCAGAGGCAAAGGTGAAGTTACCTGCTTCAGATGCTGGATGCACAGCACTGAAGGTGAATTCAAAGCCTCTGCCATGAATGCTGCCGTCAGACACAAAGATAACAATGGCTTGGTCAGACTCTATCAGCAAGGGGGAAGGCAAGACATCACCACAGATTTTACCTGTTATGAGAGAACAAAGTCAAGTTGAACCCTGTGGGAGTCACATTCATCCTACTGACCCACCCTTCGTAGCTTTAAGGACTACAAAAAGTACAACTGGTATAGCTCATGGATAGGATTCTTGGGTTCAGATAACTTTTTCCCCAGAGTTCTCTGCTAGGCATCAATTCATCTCTCTGGGAAGATGAACTGTTCTTCCCCTCCATCGAGTTGCAGGGCATGATAGCAGAAGGAGAAAGAGAAAACAGGAGAAGTCAGAAAAAGAAGAAGACAAAAAACTATTCTATCACTGATTGGGTCTACCAGTGCACAGATTTGGTCCTCAACTCAGAGGAATCCTCTGCAAGCTGGCATCATCTAGATCTACTAAGATGATCACTTCCAGAATGCCCAGCTAGTATGGTGCTTAGCTGGAGATGGCAGGCTCTCAAACACATTTCCCAGATTCAATCCTTAAAATTTTCCTTTAGGTCAGAAAAGCCACCAGTTGTCATGGCCCCATCCGATCCCAGTTTGGAGGAGGAGGAGAAGTTGGAACCAGGACCATCTGAAGGAGATGGCATGTCTCCCTGGGAAATGTTTGGAGAGGCCAGAGGCTGAGAATGATGCTGTCCCAAGCCCCTCAAACATCGGGGGAAGTGATCAACCAGACGGGGATCTGCCTGCCCTCATAGACACAGGTGGAGTATCAGCTGCAAACAGGCAGTGGTGTTGAGAGGCAGCAGATCCCCTCTGATGAAGAACAGCTGCCTCCCCCACTAGATCCAAGAGCATGGAGAGTAGAGTGGAGGCAAGCACAAAGGAGGTCTGTGAGGCTGCTCAGGAGAAAGTCGCCCTACCTCTCCTCACAAGGAACACCTGGATTGAGCAGAGGCTGAGGGAGTTAGCCTTTGTCAGGAACAATTGCTTTGCTTTGGCATGCACTTCTCTGGCCTTGGAAAAACCTGTGGAATTTGTCCCTTACTTCTGGATTCTTGCCCTTGCCCTGTGGACCTGGAATCTTGTGTATGACTTACAGAGCTTGCTGTGGGGATTTGCACCTTCTTTGTGAACTTCCTCTCTGCCTTTACAATTTGGCTCTGGTGATTATTGACTTTGTTTGTGGAAATGTAGATGGCTGCCTTCAGGGAAGTTTGGGGTGGAGATTTACCAGCCATTGCAGGGCCATTTGTTGTACAATTAGCACAGCAATACAGGACTCTACCGAAGCCTGCCTCTGCCTAGGCAACCGGGGCCATAACACCAGTCCACAGAGCATCTGCTAATCATAATTAATGTACTGGGCCAAACAGAGAAGTGGCCAACTCAGCCAAGGGCAGTTTCCTAAATCTTAGATTGAAACTTCACAAGGAATCATATGAGAGACCTTCAAACCTACCAATTAATTCCTTCTTGCTTGAATAGAAAGCAACGTAGTCATGGTCACATTCAATCTGATCTTCTACGTCTAGTTTGATAAATTCCACCAGAATGAATTTGTCTTCAGACACAGTTAGGTTCCAAATGCACCAGCTGGAAATAGACAATTTAAAGTATGGCTTGGACAGAAGACATGACATTGCTGAGCACCTGAAGTCAGGAACTGTCATGGACTTCTCAGATGAAAATGCCTTGCACTCTGTCTTCTTCTACCACCTACAAATGTACTCCCAAAGCAACAGAGCAGCAAACTCATCTCCCCCAACTTTTATTTCTTTGCTTGCATACAAAGCGAATGGGCAGATTGAACCACAGAGAGAAAATACGAACATAAAGCAGGGGTCCCCAACCCCTGGGCCATGGCCCATTTGGAACCAGACAGCAGAAGTGGTGGGTGAGCACACATGTGCATGTAGCTGCAGTTGTGTGAGCAGTGGGCAAGCATGCAGTCCATTTGTGCATGCACGCTTGCACATTGCTTGCATGGAACAACACCACTCCTGCCCGCAAAGCCGGAAATTTTGGGGAACACTGACATAAAGGATCTGTAATTGTTGTTTTTGGATCCAGCCTTTTATCTAGAAACCTAAGGCAATATATATAAAGCCCCCTCCTCATAATTCCCTGACCATAGCAAGAGTGTGACTCAGATGACTGAGGTAGACAGACTGGATCACGATCGCCCAGTGAGCTCTCATGGGTAAGAGAGGGGTGGGGTGGACAAGAACTGCTGGTTGGGGAATTCTAGGGGTTGAAGTCCACACCTTTGAAAGTTGCTAAGATTGGAAAACACTTCACTTACATGTTCTTGGCTTCGTAACAGAGTTTTTCTGGAAAATATAAATCCTATATCTCTTAAATTCCTAGCTGAGTGACTTACGGAAAAGTTGGCATAAAAGAGGAATCACAGGTATTGATTCAAAGTGTAACAAAGGGGAATGTAATTTGAGGTCCTGGTCACGTGTACCCTATTATACCTTAAGCTATGCCCCCCCCAGTTCCTCTTCCAAAGTTACCTCCAAATTTTAATCTTTATTCTTGCATTGAACGGAGGGTTAGAATAGATTATCAGCAATACCACACCCAATCCCTTACATTGAACAAGTCTACGATTCCAACAGAATGGGGAAATTATTAAATAGCCAACTATATTTAATTTAATTTGAGCGCAATTCAAATTAAATCTAATCTAATCTAATCTTAGTTTGTTCCTGCCCACTTTTTGGACACCTGATCCTGGAATACAGGCAGTCCTCGAATTACAATTTAGTGACTGTTCAAAGTTACAAGGTAGTGAAAAAAGTGACCTATGACCATTGCAGCATTCCCAGGGTCACGTGATCAAAATTCAGATGCTTGGCAAATGACTCATATTTATGGTGGTTGCAGTGTCCTGGGGTGAATATCTTTTATGACCTGGGAAGCCAGATTCACTTAACAAACCTGTTACTAACTTAACAACTGCAGCAATTCGCTTAACAACAGTGGCAAGAAGGGTCGTAAAATGGGGTAAAATTCATTTAACAACTGTCTTGCTTAACAGCAGAAATGTTGGGCTCAGTTGTGGTTGTAAGACAAGGACTACTTCTACAACTTCTAGGCCAACTCCAAAAACACTGAGGATCTTTGGCGTAACCAATTGCATTATTATAGACTGGCTAGCAAATAATTCAAAACCGTTGAATAAGAAATTAAATTGCTAACAAATAATTTAAATAATTATTGAATAATTAAATAATAATTACATTATTACGGGATTGCTAGCATTTGACTGCTAAGAAGGCATCTATGTACAGATAAGAGATTGCTTCAAGTTCCCTAGGAATCTACAGCCAAACGTACCACCCTTATCTATTTGTCAAAGAAGCAGTGAAGAACTAGAATGGCAAAGCACATTATATTTAATTTATTTCTTTATGGTTAAGATTTACATTCAAAATATTATTTAACTCAGTAACATTTACTGTGCATGTGCGTTTAATATTCTGTTGCATCTGTCAACAAACTCTCCTTTTGTTTCACAAAATCCTGTCACTGCAGCTCATTTAGTAATGGTCCCTCAAGGAAACTCAGTGCCTGTAATAAATACATACCTGTTATCAAGGTAGTTGCCTTCACTCAGGTGAGGGTACCGAACAAGGCCACTTTCACCAAACACCAGCTTTCCATGGGGATTGCACTCTTCTAGGCTGGATGCAGACAGAAAGCTTGGCCCAGGTTCTGAGCCAAAGAAAGCAAAAAGGTACCTGTGAAATATTGTCAGCAACAAGATGTAATGGAATGTGCAGCTGCAGCAGCAGAGGGGGAAGATTTTGCCAACTTGGAACTTTCCCAGGAAACCCAATCAAGAAACTGAGCAATCCTGAGCTGGAGGGGGAGGGAAGGGGAAAGAGGTTCGGGGTAACTACATCTTAGAATCTCTAAGGATATACTATATCTATTACCTTAGAAAGTTATAGAAAGCAAGATTCGGTCTATTAGATCAGTGGTCCCCAACCTTTTGGGCACCAGGGACCGGTTCCGTGGAGAAAGGTTTTTCCATGGATCGGAGGGTGCATGGTTTTGTGTGCTGCCTGCATCCCACGGATGGGACTTTGCTTGTTTGTGCAGACCGGTTGCTGGCATGCCTCGGCCCGGTATTGGTCCACGGACTGGGGGCTGAGGACCCCTATATTAGATGTAAGCAAACAAAGATTGCACTTGACTGGATCTCAGTCTCATCTCTGGGCATGAGCCTAACATCAATGTTGCCAAACTAAAACGATAACTTCCTAAGCTACTAGATATATTCTGAGAGATTCTAGGATGAGGTGTACTTGGTCCTCTCTAAGCTTGGTTTCAAACTCAGAGCACACCAAGGACCCCTCATTTCAACCCTGAGCTACAAATATTCTCCTTATCAGCTTCTAAGGTGTGGTTGCCCTGAACCTCTTTCTCCCTTCTCCCTCCAGTTTTGGCCTGCACAATCTCTTGATCCAGGTCTCCTTCTGGGGAAGTTCTGAGTTGGCAAAATTTCTCCCTCTGTAATGCAGGTGCTCATTCCATCTCAGAAGGTATCTATAAGGCACACAGATTAATATTGGTAGAGTAATACTTTTTCAGAACAAAGCATCGATCTTCCACTTGACTCAGTAATTGTGTATTTTCTGCCACTGACTTACCAAATATCACTTTATATTTTCATTTAGAGGTTGACCATATGAGCACTATGATCACAGGGGAGCAAGGAACTGTACCTTTCTCTCTTCAATTTGGAAAAAATACATGAGAAGCACTCTCCCTTTGAATGCCTAGATATCTAAAAAGAAAGCCACTAAACACCAGTCCCATGCCATCTTCATTAACTCTACTATTTTCTGACTTGGTCACCATAGAGTGTACTAAAGAGTACTAAAGGGAGAACCCTTAGAAATTGAAAGTTTCCAGAGAGAAAAACCACCCCCCGTCCCTCCACATTTTGCTATGGGACAAAAGAATCATGTAATCCTAGAGAAATATCAATGGTGAAAGAAGGATGAGTTCAAAGCAATACTCACTACTGATCATATGTTGAGTAATGAAATCCAGGAGCTCATCCACTTTAGAGAAAATGCCTGGAGAACCTCTACTGCCATTGATCCTCTTGTCTATAAGCCAACCTTTTCCACAGCCAATTCCCCATGAGGTGATGCCTGCCAATGTCCAGATGCCACTGGCTTTTCTACATGCCAGAGGGCCTCCAGAATCACCCTGATATACAACATAACATGAGAAGAACCCTTCCAGATAAGTAATTGGTAGCACAAACCACATTTTTAGAAACATGCCAAGAACATGATGCCCTCTCCACATTATTTATTTTATTGGATGCATTGAATTTAGAGCTTGCCTTCCATTTTGGAACTCAAGGAGGATATACAACATTTCTTCATCCATTTCCCCCTCCCCATATCAATCCTGTGAAGTAGGTTGGGAGATGAAGTCCATATCTCTTAAAATTGCCGATGTTGAGAAACAATGGTATAACCCAAATGTCCTACTTTCTAATCAACACCATTTTAATATTATATTGCCCAATATTGTATTATCTTTAAAGAAAAAAAATCCAGCAAATACACTAAATTCAAATTTGTCTCAACCATAGAGATTAAAATAAGGGTATCACATAAACCAAGGCTGCAAGCATGTTTTGTGCATCTATTCTTCTTTTCTAGCTTTTTAAAAAAAAAAATATGGGAGACAACTGTTTAAGATCCCGGCATTGGACCCTTGTACGTTATGATTCAAATTATCAGATGGGTCAGTATTTTCATTAAGGCAATAAAATTAGAAGTACAATTCCAGCAATTGTTTCACTGTGATTGGTGCATTGCCCTTAATTAGAAAAAAAAATAGAGGATACCATGAGAAACATGAGGTAGAGGGATCCTCCTAACAATGAAAGAATAAAATGTATTTGGGACAGCTTGCAAATTCTTTTTCTGGGGTGCTTTAAACCCTTGTGGTATAGTTTCTACCTTGCACGCATCTCTCCCACCATCTGGAAAACCAGCACACAGCATGGACCTCTGTACTGGAGGCAAATTTAAAGCTTTCAACAGTTCGCTGCAGGTTAGGCTGTCAATGAGGGGGAGTGCCACTTCCTGTAGGACGTTTGACAGGGACCCAGCTGCAAAAGAAAACAACTCTTCAGGATCCAAAAAAGTATTTTCCAAGAAATCTCAGAACAGGAAAGCTCTCTTCATACCCAAGCTAATAGTTTGCATATTCTCACTATCACACTAAAATTTGATTTGGCCTCGGGTTTTTTTTTGTGTTTTTTTTTTTGAGAGCTACTCCAATCATCAGTTTAAAGAAAAGTCCTAATTGCATTGGAGAATTGTATGAAAGCTACTTTACAGTTGATAGAAATCCTAAATTCACTTATCTTTTGGCAAAATTTTGCTACTTAGTGACATCACTTTGCCATGAGAAGGTCACCATTAATGGATAGGATGTCTTTGGTAACCATGCTTACACTCTAAAAATTGTTGAATATTTCATTATGTGCGCTCTCTGAATTTGGTTGTTTTCCTGAAGACATTTGATTACCAAACTAGGTAATATCATCAGTGCTAGTAGGGAAGGGGTTTACTTTTATTTTATATACTAGTGGTTTGCTCTGTTAGTATTGGTGGGATAGTCTTGGAGGTGGTTCTTTGATTGGGCTGTTGTTTACCATTAGCTTGTTTGGTAATTCCTTGATTGGGTAATGTTTGCTTCTTGATCGTTTGTCTAATGTTAATCTTGGTGTTAATCTCTGCTTATCTGAGTTTCAATTGCTGGTGAGGAGGTACTTTGGTCTTTTTGTTTCCTTTTCAGTTTTTTGATTGTCTCTTTTGAATACGTTTCATTATGTATCAAATTTCATTGTTTCATATCTTATTGGATTTTTGGTCAATAACTATAATAAAGTTTTGATTTAATTTGCTCTGATTTGGTTTGTTGATCAATCCACACATTTACACACTGGCTGGGTTCATACAATAAGCCAAATAAAATTAAACAAGTGAAAATATTGTGATGTTGAAACTCCAGACATCTTTGCATTCCAAATGACTTCTTAATATAGCAGTTAAAAACCCAAAGAAACGGTGATAAGGAACATTAATTTTATTTATTCATTCATTTATTGTGACTATACTGTGGCCTACTCGTATACAACTCTGAGTGGGTCACAAAGTTGAGAAGAAGAAAAAGATAACAAGGAGAAGACCTGTCTCACCCAGGTTATAACAGTTTAGCAAAAGATAATAAAGATGGCTCCCTCAACCTCCTGGCCTAATGCCTGGAGCCATCCTAATTTTGTGGGGGTCTGCTGTTCCCTAGGGCAGGTGGTAACATTCAGGCAGTAAACCATCTTTCAGTTTATATTAAAAATATATAGAATAATTTTTAACAAAAATCTTAATATAAAATTTAATGCCCTAAAATAGTCACCCTAATGTAAATTTTAGATTATGATTTTTTTTAATAATGGAAATAATGGCAAATGATAAAAAGAAAATCCCTGTGTTTCAAAATGCTAATTAAGAGTCAGAAAGTTCATGCATCTTAAGGCATTTTATCTACTGTTTGAACACAGATCTATCTCAAGGAACTTTTCCATTAGTCTTGAAGCAGGCAAGCTCCTTAAAAGTGTGCTTTCAACCTTGGCAATTTTGAGATGTGTGGACTTCAAACTCCCAGAATTCCCCAGGCAGTTCCCCAGTTGACTGGGGAGATGAAGTCCAGACATCTCAGAGTTGCCAAGGTTGAAAAACTCTAAAGTGTTTTACAAATCTGCTGATTCTCTCAGTGCAAAATTCTAGGCAAGTTATGCATCCACCTCAAGGAAGGATATGTTAAGATTACCCAGCCAAAATCACTCCATCCTCCTACTTAAAACAGCCAATGCATTCCTAGAACTTTCTTCAGTGTTAAATGTCTAGAGAGCTATAGTTTCCTTTACATCCACTCTGCCTCTTTCAAGCCTTTCTGGGGAAAAATAGATATTTCCTACTTTGTTACTGTAATTGGCAAGGAAACTTCAAAGCTCCAAGCAGCTTTAAGGTTTTTCCTTCAAAGAAGATTAATGACCTCGCTCATAGTGTACTGGCCACAACGGATAAAGGTCATGTGTCATACAGACCAATATCTCTGGAGGGTGCCCAAGTAGCAAGGTTGTTCATGCTCTTCCCAATTACGTTGATGTGCCATACAATCCCTAAAGCACTCATCATTCTAGATGGCTAGATGTTGGGTCACTACCAACTGCTCATATTGAGGAATGGAAATGTAGAGCAGAAGATGCCACAGAACAAAATATGATTGATGGCCTTTCCCCACTTATACTTAAACCTTGGAACAAATCCATAAGCCCAAAATCTCTTTTCCATAGGATCTCACAATGTTGCCTATAACATGTCCCTGGACCTTGTGTGAGTCAGTCTTATGTTGTCCTTCAGCTAACACTGTCCAGGGGTAATTTCAAACTGTGTAAAATGTGTTGGGTCTTGCCTCTATTATCCTAGAGAAGAGGGTAAAACTGGCAACTTTAAGATGTGTGGGCATCAACTTCCAGAATTCCCCTTGCTGGAGAATCCGGGTAGTTGAAGTCCATGCCTATTAAAGTTGCCAAAGTTGGGAGGCCCTGGCTTAGAGAGAAGCCAGATAACCACTGTGACTTCAAACAGAGACATTAGAAGCAGGATGGGGTAGTATTGAGATGGTCAATGCTGATAGAGTTTTATGTGAAGCATTTCAATTATGAGATAATAGGAGAAAGATGGTGAGCCAGTATGGAGGAGAACCTGGGCTTTATAAGGTCCAATACAATGACTCTCAGCAGCTCTAGGCAACAAAGCTAATAATGAGTCCCACTAAGTTTTGTAGTTCTGCAGGTTCATTCTGGAATAATTAAAAAGTAAGTCAATAGCAAACTTCACATGCCACTCTCCTTAGGAAGCTCAGGACAAAATACTCACCCTCAGAAGTTTTGCCCCATCCACTCACAACACAAAGTGTTCCAGCTTCAAATAAATCTTCCTTGTGGGGAAGACAGATAGGCTGTACTTCATAGCCTAAAAGAAGGAATACAGCCAGAAATTTTAAATCAATGTTTTCTTTTGATGAACACCCATAGAGAAGATTTCATTTCTACATTTTTGTGCCCAAAGAATAGCTCAATGATATAGCAATGCTGCATGTAGAAGTTTCCAGATCTTTGCCTCTACAAAGTCTCTTGCTCCTATCCCCATCCTTAACTTCCTTAACTACTTTTGCAAAAAAAATCTTGGCCATACCCGTTCTACTGATGTCATAGGCCAGTGGTGTCGAACCTATGGCATGCATGCCAGAGGTGGCACTCAGAGCCCTCTCTGTCGGCACATGCACCATCGCCCCAGCCCCACCTCCCCCCATGGCCCCCTCCTCACCAGCAGCCACCCCCGGAGGAGAGTTGCCCCCAGGCACGGCCCACACGGAACAGTGCAGCCAAGAACATGGGAGCTGGGCAGCAGGGACATGACTCCGCCCTCATGCCCTGTCACGTGCAGTTGATGCTGCGGGGTGCAGGTGGAAGGTGTGGCTGCCATAGCGCTGCTGGGCCACCTGGGTGATCTGCAGCAGGCCGTAGAGACGGTGGGTGGCCCTGCGAGCAGGGGTGGAGCGGGGGGAGGAGCAGGGGTTGGTGGGGAGCAGAGCAGGGGCTGGCAGGGGTGGCAGGGAGGGGCCGGTTTTGGGGCACTCGGTCTCTAAAAGATTCGCCATCACTGTCATAGGCTCTTCCCAAAGTTGGGAGATTGAGTTACAACCTTCCTCTCTCAAGCATTCCCCATTTTTGGCATACATTCCAACCATTTTCTTTAATAGTGCTTCACTCAAGTCTCTTCTTACCATATTGTACCTGGTGTTTCAAATACAGCAGTGCTATATCTGAATCCATATACCCAAATCTGTTGAAGTCAGGATGGACAACAATTTCAGAGACTGGGACACTCTGTTCTTCTTCATCCACACTGCCAAGATCAAACTCACCAACAGTCACAATCAGATTCTTCACAACATTTCTAAAAAAGGGTGGAAAGAATTATTATTCAGCCAGTTGGCCTTTGCACAAATTATATGTCTAATGTAGTAGAACCAAACTTATGATTCCTTGATTCTTCTACACAGGAGAAAAAAATCCCTAAACTTGCAGAGGTCATACCCAGCAAATTCTATAACAAAAGAGTCAGATTAATGTACTGAAACCTATTAGGAAATTCATTTTTATCATCAGCTCTCATGGACTTACAACAGCCTTTTTCACCTGTTGGGTTTGCAACTCCCAGAATTTCTAGCCAGAATCCCAGAATTCCAAGGCTTCCTTCTTAGAAACTGGAATTCACAACACCCCTGGCAAGCACCCAGACAGAGCCACTTTAATGTGGGAAGCATGCAGTGAAGATAAAAGATGAAGGTTTCCCTGTCCAGTCGTGTCCAACTCTAGGGTGTGGTACTCATCTCAGTTTCTTGGCTGAGGGAGCCAGTATTGACCAAAGACATGTATGGAACGCTATTGCTTTCCCACTGAAATGGTATCTACTTAATATTTGCATGCTTTCAAACTGCTAGATGGGCAGGAGTTGGGGCAAGGAACGGGAGCTCACCCCGTTGGACAGCTCTTGGGTCTCAAACCTGGGCTGTCAGCTTTCCAGCTGACAAGTTCAGTGGGTCTTTAACCACTGGGCCCTCGTGCCCCAAAGCCACAGCATTTTGCGTCAAATGCAATTGCTGTTGGGTAGGCATCCAAGAAATAGACAAGTCACCTTCAATACTTACAGCATTAGTTTGATCTTGCCACACAAGTGGACAAGATGAAACATTCAAGAATGACACAGATTTCAGTGTTATGTGCAATGCTGGTCTTGACATTTTGGAAAGTTAGGATAAATTTCTCATTCTTGTTTATAATTAGATAATTATGGGAGAATCTTTTTGAATGTTTGACATGCTTCTCCCCAGATTTTTTCCCATCTGGATTAAACTATCATTTATGTGATAAGTTGACATCTAACTAATCTACTGTCTCCTGGTTGTTTATGTCTGCTCTCTCTCTCCTCTATTCCTTCCCCAGACTCCTTGGGTTGTCTAGGGAATTTTGGGAACTGAAGTCCATCATCTCAAAGTCGCCAAGGTTAATAAATATTGCACAAACACTTCCTCCCTTCAGCCTTAGTTTACATTTTGGCTGGAGATTCCACAAGCTTTATGCACATGCTACTCCAGAAGCTGCCACCATATCTCAGCAGACAAGTAACCAGGCATCTTCTTCAATTACTTTTGGTTCCTCTCCAAGCAAGTTACATAAAATATGACTTACAGATCGAAATCTATGACGCAGTGAGCTGCAGTGACCACCACATCATCACCAATCAAACTGCCACCGCAGAAATGAGACCGGCCTCGCTTGATGGAGACCTATTAAGTGGAGAGAGGGAGGATGGGAGAAGACAGAAACCAGATGGCTGAAAGAAGAGTTTCGCAAATGTACAGATTTTGATTTAAGTGGTTGCTATAATCCAGCCTGGCCAATTAGAAGTTTGATTAGACAAGGGAGCTGTGAACAGCAGCAAAAGTTTGTCCTTGTATTCTAGGGACATCAGTCAAAGAATTGAAGTTATACAAATGAGTTTGTCTTACCAAGGCGTTATTAAAACTTCACTGGTATTTAATATAAGTACTGGTCAGTGAGTCCTGGACTATAAAACATTTCCCTTCGCCATTCTACTGCACAGCTGGTAGATGCATTTGGAAATTATTAGAGAACTTGCTGAGGGACATCTGCTATTTCTGGTTTAGCTATACAGCTAGACCTCGGTCAACAATTCAGTCACTAAGTGAAACCGCAACTGTGCTTACGCTCTTACTTCAGTTTTCCTTTGCTTTACAGACCTGTGAAAGTCAAAAATGCAAGAATTGGTTCCAAAGTTGTTCTGTCATCACCATCATAGCTGCAAAATGGTCACTGTGTGGACACAATCACTCAACAAGGACCACCTATAAATGCTAATCTTTGTCTGTTTTTTTTTTAAAGATGAACTGCAGTTCCTGGGAATAGCAATAAGCAAACTTAAAAAAAACCCACAGATACCTGCCATGGTTGCCCTCCTGGTACAGACATTCTTCCTCCAATAATTCTTGAAAAGGACCCAAGTTGTAAATCGTCCTCCAGATCCATGAAGCGGAATCCACATTTTCTTCCTTAGGAAGCAGAAAGGAGGGGAATTTGAGGTTTCACTATTCTTGCAGTCTTACATGAAGCCAAACACTGCCTTCCAAGTAATATTTGGATATTTTGCCCTAGCATACACCAATGCCTCTATCTGTGTCCTGGAAGCCCTTGGATTCTGCAGACCACTGGTATAGCATTGGCTTAGCATATACCTGAGGTTTTCAAACCATGATTTATAATTGATTGGGAATTATGATTTGATTGAGAGCTGCCCAAAGTTGGTTGAAAGATGAACAGCTATCTAAATGCTTTAAATTAATAAAGAAATGGTTTATGGGATATGGCTTAAAATCCAGTTGTTGACTTGGAAAAAGAAAGAAAATTTGGTAGTGCTTGAAATATTCTAGTGAGCATCCTGCAGCCCCCCAGGCTTCACTTTGAGACCCAAGGACAAATTTAGCAGTTCTTTGCTGCTTTTTATTTGAATAAATAAATTTCCACAGCAGTAATGAAATGAACGACAAAACTGACCTTTGCTGGCTGCATAAGAAGCAAACATCACATTTTGCAGCTGTACCATTTTGGGGTGAGAATCTGCCCCTTTCTATGGAACATCATCTCCCAGATATTAGGTTGGTCCCAACTCTACTGGGTTTTAATAAGATGACTGAGTCTTTGCTTTTCAGCAAGACTTTGGGGTCTGATGTGTTGCATTTTGCTCTCCTGCAGGGGATGGATGGATATAAGTGGAATCTTCCTTAGTATTTACAGAATGCAGAATAACAGAGTTGGAAGGGACCTTAGAGGTCTTCTATTCCAATGTCCTGCTCAGGCAGGAAACCCTATACCATTTCAGACAAATGGTTATCCAATCTGTTTCCAGTGTTGGAGCATTCACAACTTCTGGAGGCAAATTGTTCCATTGATTAATTGTTCTAACTGTCTCCTTAGTTCCAAGTTGCTTCTCTCCTTGATTAGTTTCCACCCATTGCTTCTTGTCCTGCCTTCAGGTGCCTTGAAGAATAGGTTGACCCCCCCTCTTCTTTGTGGCAGCCCCTGAGATATTGGAACACTGCTATCATGTCTCCCCTCGTCCTTCTCTTCGTTAAACTAGACATACCCAATTCCAGCAAACGTTCTTTATATGTTTTAGCCTCCAGTCCCCTAATCATCTTTGTTGCTCTTCTCTGTACTCTTTCTAGAATCTCAACATCTTTTTTACATCATGGCAACCAAAACTGGATGCTGTATTCCAAGGCATTGTAAAGTGGTATTAACACTTCACGTGATCTTGATTCTATCCCTCTGTTAATGCAGTCCAGGACTGCATTGGCTTTTTTGGCAGCTCCAACACATTTTTGAACATCAGCCATGTCGTTTAATCATTAGTGCATTCAGGTCTCTAAGCCACCCAAAGTCAGTCTTGGATTAGAGCAGCATTGAAGTCTAGTAAATACAGGTAGTCCTTGACTTATGACCACAACTGAGATCTGAATTTCCATTGTTAAGCAAGGCAGTTGTTAAGTGAGTTTGCACCCAATTGTACCACTTTTTTTGTCACAGTTCTTAAGTGAATCACTGCAGTTGTTTTGTGAATCATACAATTGTAAAGTGAATCAAGCTCCCTCCATTGACTTTGCTTGCCAGAAGCCAGCTGGAAAGGTTGCAAATGGCAGTCACATGACCCCCGGGACACCCACAACCATTGTAAATACATGCTGGTTTCCAAGCACTCAAGTTTTCACCATGTTACTGTGGGGATGCCGTAGGGTCGGAAGGGTGGGGACTGGTCATATCTCAGTTATTTTAGTGTTCTTATAACTTCACACGGTCACTAAACAGATGGTTGTAAGATGAGAATTACCTATAGACTTCAACTGCAGTTATGACTTCCATCTTGATTTTTGGGGCACACTCACACCCATGGATGCGCTTGGATAAATAGATATTAAAAGATATTAAGAAGGACAACCTTACCTCTTTCCGTCCTCTCAAAGTCCAGTAGCTTAGAAGGAGCAGAGTTCTCAAACAGCTGTTCATGAGAAGATATCGGTTGCCATTCCTCTGTTCCACTTAACTTGTCCATTTCTGAACTCCAGAAGACTGCAAAAGTAATTTTTTTTGTGGGAAGTCTGGGACCAACTAACTGACAGGGATGGTTTTTAAACAATTTGTACTCTGAGATACTTGAAGTTTTAAGATCACTTCCAAAACTATGACTGTTGCTTCACCAAGGGAGACTACATATTTTTCTGTTCCTCTCTAGGCATTTGTAGGTGCCCCAATTTCTGATATACAATAAATCACCAATGGGCCAGGAATATAGAGTACATTGTGGAAAATTTCTAAAGTTTATGTTTATGTAACACCTAGAAACTTAGATGAAATAACAAGTTATGCTTGAGGCTAGGGCTTAGATTCACAAAATGGTAACATCCTATTCATTTCCTTAATTAAAATAAATTAAAAAATAAAATTAGGTGGGGCTTAGTGAACTTTTCAAATTTCACTGGACAGAGCAAAATCCACTGGCAAATTTGTGCAGTCATTAAAGATACAGGTCATCATTTAGCAACCGTTCACAGTTAACGATAGTGATGAAAAAGTAACTTTTCAACCAATTCTTGCATTTATGATCCTCGCAGGTCTGTAGAAAGCCAAGAAAAGCTGAAGTATGATCATAAGCAGAGTCACGGTTTCACTTAATGACTGCTATGCTTAATGACTGAGTTGCCTGCCCCAATATGATGACCGAACGAGAACTACCTTTATTCTCCAGAAACATCAGGTGATTTGGAATTCCAGATGTAAGAGATGCTTTTGATAACTGGCCAGAGAGTCCATGGGGTGAAAGGGAATTATAGAGGGTGAGAAGAGTCGTGTTTAGTCACCTGCAAAGCTTTTGCTAAGCACTTAGGAGGGAATAACACAAATGCTACTACTTGAATTACCTAAATCGGAAACATGGTGTAATGCAATAATTGAAGGACGGCTGGGATAAATTCAGACTTGCTTTCGAGAGGGAAAAACTCATCAAGATCGGGAAAGTGAAAGGCCTTTCAGCCATTGTGATGCAGAAGAATCAATATTTCACAAGCCATTTTATAAACAACTAGAATCAAAAGCTTTCTCTTGGCATGGGGACCACGCACAGTAGGGAATGTAAAAACAAGCCCTGGGGCTGCATGAATCCTTCAAGTCCTTCCGAACCTTTCCAAAAGATGCTTAAGTATGGTTTTAATGAAAAAAAAGGGACATTTTAAATACAAGGGGAATCAAAATACAATTTTTATATTTTGACTCTTTTTATTCCATGCCATCTAGACTCTTTCATTTCCTTAAGGAAGGCTGACTAATCCCTCTTGAATACTGATGTTTGGCTAGTTATAGGAACAGAGGGAAGTTGGTTTGTTTGTGAGTTGCTTCCCAGGATTGGAGATGTCCTTTCTGAAACAAAGCCAGTTGTGTAAAAAGGGCCCTAGATGTGTATTACTCAGTAGTAAAGCCCCCTGGGTCTGATAGAGCTTACTACCAAGTAGATAACAGACTGGACAACCTTCAACACGATACACCTGGAAGTTCAAAAAGGCGTTTTAGACCCAACCCTGTTTCTCTCATTAACAGCTCCCATTTCCTAGAATATTTTTAGAAAGCCAAATCAGATGCTTCCTTGTGGCTATAATAACACAGCAGGCAACGCCTCTGCTCAAAACAAACATAATCACTCAATTTTGGAAGGGGAGAGTGTTCTCAAATACTTACCCTGTAGTTGGAGACAGACAATGGGACAGAGGAACCATTGTGATATTTGCATGGTTCACGTAAATCACAGCCAAACCCTTTTAGCAACAACTGGGAGATTAAGAAAGGATAAAAACAAAAATAGGCTTCAAAAGACTTTTTTTTTTTTTACAACCCACCACATTTATCAAGAAAAAGGAAAAGTGAGGAAAAAATTCTTGACATCCTGTTGTATTAGTCAAGATCTTCTTGGCAGAAACAGGACAAATGAGCACTTTGTCCTTAATGATTTAATACCTGTCCTTTTCCAAGGGAATCTGGGAATTGTAGTTTAAAAGGTACGGACAAGCATTTATTAGGTAAGGCTCATTGAGAGAGAGGTTACTGAAAAACTTACAAACTTTGTGAATAAGATGTTCAGAAAGGAGGAAGTTAGAATTTCTTTTTTCTTTCTTTCTTTCTTTCTTTCTTTTTCTTTCTTTCTTTCTTCTTTCTTTCTTTCTTTCTTCTTTCTTTCTTTCTTTTTCTTTTTAATTATTCTTAAACTTGCTTTATCTTTTTTCCTTTATCAACATGTACAAAAAACATTAAGTAGCAGTACAATGGAGAATCTATGCTCAGTGATCAACTTAAGTTGCAAATTTTTATTGTACAACAAATACATTGACCCAATCTCTAGGTTTTTTAATGTTATATTCAGTTCTGGGGGGAAAAGCCTAATCTTATGCTCATTGACATCCTGAATTGTCATTAATATTGATAATTTTTTCTTTTTTTTATCAACACTCCAAGTGATGTAAACATTAGGCTAATAATTTGTACAGATATCACTGTACTGTAACAATATGTTCTGTATTGAAATTTACAACATCATAAAAACACATTCGTACTATAAGTAATTGGGTATACATATAATATAGTGCTTTTCTGTGATTAACTAAAGAAAATGCTATCATGTGAATTTTCACAGCACAGGAAGCTAAAATTAAAGAAACAGCCTCATGGTTTAGTGCAGGGGTAGACAACCTTGGCTCTTTTATGACTCGTGGACTTCAACTCCCAGAATTCCTGAGCCAGCTACGAGTCATAAAAGAGCCAAGGTTGCCTACCCCTGGTTTAGTGTAACCCACACAATAAATCAAAACCTAAATGGATGGGTTTGAATTCTGCCATGGAGTATTATATGAACACAGTTCTTGTAGTTTGTAAAACATGATGTGGGGCTTAACCTATTAGATAAACATAGGTAATTTTACTTCAGTCATCAAACTGTAGTTAAGCAGAGCACATGAATCCAGCTGGTAAATGGATGTAGTTGGTTTCTACAGGAAAATATAAAGATCTCTATCAAAGAGTGGGAGTAGTCTGAGCGAATGAAGAAGTTGGTGTGGCAGATGCAGGAAGAAAACCAGAAGTTGGCCATGTGAACTGAAGAGCTAGGAATGAAGTCTAGCACATTTGGAATCTCCAGACTGAGGAGGGATGCTCCATTTCAAGCTTTCTCAGATTCATGTCCAATTTAAAAACTGAAGAAGAGCAGAGGACTTAAAACTGCCCAATCACAAAAATTAAATGGTCATAGTTTGCCATCACTCCTCTTTGCTGCAGTATTGTATTTCTATTTGAATTATTAGCACTGTAATGAATTATTCTAACACTGCCCCTGTGGAATCCAACAATTTCTGTCTATGTATGTCCTCCATTCTTTCCTCCCTTCTGAATAAGCATTTTCTCTTTATTTCTCTAGGCAATGTACAAGTAGTCACAAGGTCTTGATATACTTACCAGGGAAATCTGTTTCCTTCTATTGCTTTGAATATTGACTAAAATCCATTGGCAGATGCAAATTCCTCCTTTGGACAACTAGGCCTTTGGCATTCTTTACACCAAGATAGTACTGGAACTTTCAGATTTTCTCCATCTGGATGCCTAATCTTTCTTTGGGTGGCTTTTACTCAGTAATCGCATAGCCTATAGCCAAAAGTGCTTTTTCAAAAGGCAAGTGGACTTTGTTTTTCCTTAAACAAAGGAAAGTCCACACTCTGGACAGAGAGGACAGCTGTTTGAAAGGGATCAAAGAGACCATTTACATTAAGATTGAACAGCCTTTTCTCAACAGAGGGGAGGGATCTCTTGTTTACAATACAATCCTTGAGCAGTTCCAGTTCCATTTGCACTATTCAGGTGAAGCTGAGAGCACAGCTTCCAAGTGGCCTCAATGACTCTCAGAAAGAGTGCTAATGACCAGATGACTGCAAGGAATATAAATCCTTCTATCCTCCACCATTTTTGGATGAGAAGTGAAATGTCTTCAAGGAAAAACAAAGTCTAGTTGCTTTTTGAAAAAGCACCTTTGGGACAACCATGATCGGGATGACTCAGAATCTCCACAGACACATATAGATCCCTACAGTTTTGGGATCAGACTTTGGCATGCAAAATATGCTTTGCTTATGAATCTATCCTATGGTCTTATGCCTTAACATGCTCTGTGAACCCACCCAATTGAAGGCAATTCAGTGCCAACAGTTAAAACAACCTCAGAGCAATGAGTAAAATGTCAGGAACACAACTCATTCTAGGCCAGCCTTCCCCTGACTTGGGCATGTTCCAAATAGATGGACAAATCCCCAGCCACCAGGGCCATTGCCAAGAGTTCAGGGTGTTAAAAATAAATATATCTGGAACATGCCCACATAGTGAAAGGCTGTGCTTAACCAAAACATGGTTTTTGTGCGAGCCTAGCTTTTGCAGTGGGCAAAGTATTCAAGATATTATGATTAAAACAAGTGATTAAGTCATGTGATTCAGCCTACATTTTGTATCATTCCTTTGTTGTTGTTATATTTAGCTAAGCTCAGAATAGCATCAGTTACACATTCCCCAATCACATCCAAACACAACCATTTTGTCAAGGACTATCAGGGAGGAAGAATATTTTGTGGTAAGGAACTTCCTAACTGTAGCCCTCTCATAATCTTACCATATACTGTAGAAGAATCCCATATAGCCAAGAGATAATATAGCCTTGGGGTCAGTCTTATATATAAGACAAGTTCAAGAGAAGGTAATTTAACATTTTGGTCTTGCAGCTCTATTCAAAATATTTTCTTTGAGAATTTAGAATCAGTTCTCCCTACTGATCTTTCTGCGTACCTATAAATATTTCTTTGGTTTCAGCTATGGAGATATTGGACTACAGTCCTGGTTCATAGGCCAGTCAGCATATCAACTTTCCACATCATGAGTGCACATATACCTAGATTTTTGTTTTAATAGCCATTGACTTGATCCATTATTTGAGCTATTGGCACTCTGATCTGCAGTGTATATCAAGTCTAAAAT